CTGAAGGTTGGCAAGGCATGGCTGTTTGATATGAATAGTTTTTCCCACCTATATGTCCTCTGGAAGCTAACTGAATTTTCATGAACATCCTAAATAGATTCTTTTTGAATTGTAATTCAGACAACAAATTAAAAAACGCAACAGGAAATCACTCTTGTGCTAGTTAACAAATTGAAATCACAAATTTCTCTAATATTTATAAAAGCAAGGGTAACTCCAGACTACCTAACAACCAGTCTTATCACCAGAGTTAAATTCCAAATGTTTTTAAAATAACAAAATAAATACCATGGCTTTACCTGGCATGCATGTGGCTTCACACCTGTATGCTTCAACATATGTATTCGAAGGGAATATAATTTAGGTAATGTCCTCCCACATATGGAACATATAAATTCTCGCTTGGTTCTGCCCTTCTCAGATGATGTTCCTGAAGCCTCATTAGATGTGGAATTAGATGAGGATGAGGTGGGGGCATCTTTTCTGGCATGGCGAATAAGGTGTGCTCGCAAAGAAGCACTGTACTGAAACTGTTTTTTACACAACTGAAAGAAAAAGTAAGTTCTGTCTGAGCATCTTTCCATTACAAAATGTTACGTAAAACTCAACCTTCACCTTAACTTTCCATTTCTGTGTTAGTTATATAAACAAGGTCAGCCTGTGACATTCTGGTTGAGGTGGCTGGATCTCATATGGCTGACTGTGTGGTTTGAGTTCCAGACCTAAGAGCCTGAAAAACATGCCAGGCATGTGTGCACCCAAAATCCTGAGAGAAGAAATGGAGAGACTGTGATGTGACCATCCCCAATGAAGGGCTGCTTTCTCACTTTCCCTCCGTTTCCTTCTGTTTTTGTCTCTGACAAGCACATGTGCCCTCTAGCAAATTAAAAAAAAAAAAAAAAAGAAAAAAGATATAAGATAATGAATACATATATGTAGAAGACAATATATTTAGTACCAGATTCTAGAGATAAAAGGGATGAGACTCAAGCCCTACTGCAGGGTCAGGCAGGTGGCATGATGGTTAAGGAGGCTGGATCCCACATGGCCGACTGTGCGGTTCAATTCCCAGGCATGTATGTAAGTGTGCTTAATATCCCAAGAGGAGAACAGAGGAAAAAGGACTGCAGTATGGCCATCTCTCCCGGGGAGTCCTTGCTCACTTTCCTTTTCCATCTCTAGTGAGTGTTACACACCCCATAACAAAAACAAACAAAATTATCTATATATAAATTACATGTGCTCCCCATTTATGAAACTAGGGGGAAGGTAGGTAGTCGACCATATAGCCTTAAGGAAGCCAGATCCCACATGGCTGACTATGGTTCAAATCCCCAAGGGCCAGCAGGTAGTATGGTAGGTAAGGCAGCTGGATCCCACCTGCAGTTTGGAAAACGTGTTAGGTTTGTGTGCATGTGTGCCCCAAATCCCAAGAGTAGAATAGAGAAAGAACTGTGGTGGGACCAGCAGTTAGCGTAATGGCTATGTCGCGGGACTCCCACGCAGTCAACCGCGGTTCGAGTCCCGGACCCGGTGGCTTAAACTCACGCTGGGCGTGTGTGCCCAAGATCCTGAAAGGAGAATGGAGGAGAAGGGATTGTGGCGTGGCCATCTCCCCTAGGGGGATGATTTCTCGCTTCACTGTCTCTCTGTCTCTGTCTGTCTGGCGAGCAAACGCGCCCTATAGCAAAAACCTCTCAAAAAACAAAAAAAAAAAAGAAAAAAGAAAAAAGGACTGTGGTGTGGCCATCCGCCTTAGGGTGATTTCTCACTTTCTCGTCCCCTCTCAACCCCTGGTCTCTTTCTGGCATGTGCATGCACCCTATTGTAAAAACTGAAGGTAAAAAAACCTGGGCCTCAGTAGCTTGAAAAACATGCTAGGCACATATGTGTGTGTGTGTGTGTGTGTGTGTGTACGTGCGCCCCATATCTTGACATGAGGAAGAAATGGAGAAGGGTTTGTGATATGACCATACCTCATTGGGGTTTGCTCCCCCCAAATCCCCACCAATGTCTCTGGCAAATGCAAATGCACTCTGGGAATTTAAAAAAACAAAAACCTTATCTTTTTTTTTTGGAGAGGTTTTTGCTATAGGGCGTGTGCACTCACCAAACAGAGAAAGACAGAGAGACAGAAAGTGAGACATCACCCCCCAGAGGGGATGGCCACACCACAATCCCTTATCCTCCATTCTCCTCTTAGGATCTTGGGCACGCACGCACACACAACCCACTGAGGTTAATCCACCAGGTCTGGGACTCAAACTGTGGTCGACTACATGGGGAGTCCAGCGACATAGCCATTACACTAACTGCTGGTCCCAAAAACAAACACTTTTTTCTAAATTTATCTCCAGGGAGGGAGGGAGAGAGAGAGATGGGCACACCCTCTATAGGATTTTCACGCTGTGTTCCTCCCAAGGCTTGCAGCCAACGCCTGCATTCAGAGGAACCGGGGCAGGATTTGAATGTGGAGCCTTTCCACAAGGCCTCTAGCACCATGCAATAACATCCCTATTGCCTATGCCACCACAGGTGAGCCAAAAACTGACTCTGAAAAATAAATAAAATGATCTCCCAGCCTAGCATTTCCACCATACTTTGTTTTCAGAGTTAACTTTTTTTACTCTATTTTGCTTCTCTTATCTTCTAATTTTTTAAAAAAACAATTATTTTATTTAACTTTATTCACTTATTTTAATTTGACCATAGAGGGATGGAGGGTGGGGGGTGGTGAGAAAGCAAGCTGCCAGGTCCGGGACTCAAATCATGGTCAGCCATGTGGGAGTCTATAACCATAATGCCACCTGTTGGCCCCACTTATCTTGTAATCCTAAGTAAACAAATAAAAATAAATAAATAAAGTTAATAAAACAATTCTTAAAAAAAAAAGATAATTTTAAAAATAGTATTGGTGGGGACCAGCAGATAGCAGTTCGCTGGACTCCCATGTAGTCGACTGTGGTTCGCCTCCCGGACCTGGTGGCTTAAAACTCACGCCGGGCACGTGTGTGTGCATGCCCAAGATCCCAAGAGGACAATGGAGGAGAAGGGATTGCAGCGTGGCCATCCCCCTTGGGCGGTGGTTTCTCATTTTCTATCTCTCTGTCTGTCTCTGTCTGTCTGGTGAGCGCACGAGCCCTATAGCAAAAACCTCTCAAAAAAAAATAGTATTGGTTTATTGCTTCATGACTGCAACTTTTTCATTGATCACTTATATTAAGTCATACTTGTGGACTTTTTGTTTTTGTTTTTTTGTTTTTAGTTTGCTATAGGATGCATGTACTTCCCAGAGATATAGACAAGAAAGTGAGAAATCACCCCACAGGGAATGGCCATGCCACAATCCCTTCTCCATTTTCTTCCTGTTATTTTGGGTATATGCACACACACACCTGGTATATTTCTCAGACTCAAACCATGCAGTCAGCCATGGGGAATCCTGGGATCTTCACCACCACCACACCATTCACTGGCCCCAATTTGCATTTTTAAAACAATCTTATTACTATTGTCTCAGTAGGGTATCAGGAGAAAGCAGACATTAAGACACTGAATGTTGGGGGGTGGGGAGAAAGTAAATGAAATAAACAAATCAGAAAACGACCATTATAGAAATACAAGAACTATGGAGAGAATACAAGTTGTAGGAAAACAACCAAGTGTTAAGTTGGATTCTATTTAGGATCAGGGTAGAGCCACCTTCAGCTGGCTTTCCAGGCACACTTACCGGGCATTTATAATCTCTGGCTCTTTCATGTTTCAGCGTATGCATGATAAGGGCATATCGCCTCTGAAAAACCATTCCACATTCCCCACATTTATGGGACGCTTCTTCGGTATTCTCTTTAGCATCTCTTTTTGGCTGTTTCATCTTTTTTCCTCTTTGAACTAATTTCTGTGCCACCTAATTAAGAAATAGAAAACACAATCTATCTATACATACTCATTTTAACTTATAAGGTCATGAATCGTGTTACAAATTCTAACAAATATTTCAATTCCCAGTATCTTCTTAATATAGATCTTTAAAACATTTAAGTTACTGCTTTGTGCCCTACTCCCCAGCCAAATAAATTTTACCAAAAGCATATGAATAAATCAGTAGAAGGCTTTCAACTTAAAGCAGTACTACAAAGCTCCTACCTGTTGAACTGCTGACTTGGGAATGGCTTTACGTTTCTGCAATTTTTTCTCTATTCCCTTATGTAGTCGGATATATCCTCCCTCGTTAACAGAACGCTGCCGAAGCCTGCTTTTGTAAGTATCATCATCTGGGTTGAGGTCAGTCTTCGCTGTTGGTGCATCTGGACATTCCTCATCTTTTAAAGCCTGGCTAGGGTCTTGATCATGTTTTGGGAAGTCTTCAGCACAGAGAGCCTTAGCTGGTGTGTCATTTCTCATCTCACTGTTCTCTGGAGAGTTACTGATTACATTCTCTATGGAAGGTTTAGGATGAATATTAGAAACTGTGCAGGTACCTTCTCCGCTGTTTGAAGTTTCTACTTCTTCCTTGTTGTCTTTTGTTACTAACTTGGCAGACTCCATTGAGGGATGGGAATCAGTTGTACAACCCACGGCGGGCAGAGAAGCTTTGGCCTCTGAAGAAACCTGGGGCTCAGGCTGTTGTCCTACTTCTCCATTCTGCTCAGCTGCTGGCAGTTCTCCATTTACCAGCAGTACGATTTCACAATTCCCAAGTTCAGTAGATAAAGCTGTTGTGGTTCCCTCACTGCTTGCCACAGGAGGTGCTGTGCCTCCATTCTGTTCTGGTACTTCTTGGGTAGATGCGACTGTTTGTACCTCTCCCTTCTTATACACTGTTAGTTGTTTCTCTTCCATTAGTTTATGCACACTTTCACAGATTTCTAAAACTTCTGACATGAAAAGATGACGAGCTAAGATGGCTACATCAGCCATGCTACAGAAGTCAAAACTTAGCACAGAAGTATAGGCAAATTCGAGTAAAGGAAGAAAGCTTGCCTTACAAAAACCTGTATGAAACGAGAATGGCGGGGGACAAAAAAGTCAATCAACACTAAAACACCTTCTAAGGGCAATTAATACAAAATTATGACAACATGAAAATAATACAAAGATAAATCATTTATTCTGCAATTAATCACTCCTGATTTGCTGTCAGTTGTGGTTGCTTATTAAACCTTGACTAACTCACTTCTATGAGCCAAGTCTCAATGCCTAATAAGAAAATAATATCAGACTTACTAACTCAAGAGGAGTTGTAAGGCAGTCAATTTTCAAACAGTACTCCTTAGAACCCTGGGGTTCCTCAAATTCCCCTCAAGAAACAGCTGCTGGAGAATGAAGAGTAAAAAAAAGAGGGAGGCAGATGAGTAGGTAGGGTTCAACCAACCTGTCCCCTAACCTCATTTTGTAAATTCATCTGTTTTTTCATAATAATACTCGTATAAAAATTTGATAGAACAAGTGTTCTATGAGTAAAAATGATAAGCCAAGAGCCAAAGCAGAAGTCAGCAAAATGATTCCGAAAAGAGTCAGATGATAAATACTGTAGGCCATAGGTGTCTGTGGCATCCACCCAGTTTTGTCACTATAGCCCGAAAGCAGATGTACACGAATGGCTAGGCTGTGTGACAATTCAACTTTCCTTTCAAAACAGGAGGACTGGCCCCAGGCTGTAGTTTGCCTATCCTGGATCTAAGGAATGAAATAATCACCGTAAACAGAAAGTATTACATTATTATTTTATGTGGGAAAATAAGGTCAATTTGTTTTCTTTTCTAAATTCTCAGTGCTTCAGTTTCAAAGCCATTTTTTAAGTTTTTTTAAGAATTATTTTATCTTTTTATCATTATTATGTTCCAGTTTTGATCAGAGAGAGGGGGGAAACAAGAAAAGAAGCACCCAGGTCCAAGACTTGAACTGTGGCCATCCATCAGGGAGTCCAGTGCCCCTAACCACCACTCCATCTGCTGGCCCGTCAAAGTCATTTTAAATTCTTAATATTCATATGATTGGGGGCCAGCAGATGGTGTGGTGGTTAAAGGCACTGGATTACCATGTGGCCAACTGCAGTTCAAGACCCAGACCTAGTGGCTTAAATATCATGCTGGGCACATGTGCATGCATGCCAAAAATCCCAGGAGGAGAATGGAGAAGTAGTTACCCCCACTCCCCCAGACTTTCCCTGCCTCTGTGAGTGCACACGCCCTATGGCCAAAACCTGAGGGGGGTAGGAACGGAGCAGCAGATAGCATAGTGGTTGAGGCACTGGACTCTCAGGTGGTCAAGTGCAGTTCGAGCCCCAGACCCTGTGGTTTGAAACTCAAGCCATGCATGGGTACATGCACAACCAAAATCCCAAGGGGAGCTAGGGTTGCGGCATGACCATCCCCCCCAGGGGGTGTGTGATTTCTTGCTTTCTCTCTCAACGTCTCTCTGATTCTCTGATTCTTTGGCAAGCAAATGTACCTTATGGCAAAAAAAAAAAAAAAAGGAAAAAAGAAAATCATATGATTCAAAAATCAGGGAAAAATAAAAGGAGAGTGATAATTCTAACTGTATTTCCACAACTAATTTGTATAGCTTTCCAGAATTTCTTTAAATACTCAAATTTTCTTATCCTCCCTTAAGATAGGTGTCATCATATTACATATACTGTTCTGTATCTTGCTGTTCTAATACAGTAATATATTTTACAGATTTGTAACTATATACTGAACCAAAGCAACCTTTCTAAAAGTTACATTTACTGTGTTACAGTTTTTTTTTTTAATTTAGTTTTTGTTATAAAGCATGTGCACTTACCAGAGACAGGGTGTTGAGAGGTGTGTGGGTGTGAGAAATCACCCACCAGGGGAATGGCCACACCTCTGCAATCCCTTCTCCTCTATTCTCCTCTCGGGATTTTAGCACATAAACAATGCACACTGTGTGATTATTTATTTATATATTTTCAGTCACAGAGCGCTCACCGGGAAGACAGACAGAGACAGTGAGAGGGGAAGTGAGAAATCATCTCCCAAGGAGGGTGGCCATGCCACAGTCCCTTCTCCTCCCCTTTCTTATGGGGATTTTGGGCAGGTATGCATGCATGCTCAGTGTGATTTTCAAACAGCCAGAGTCCAGTGCCTTAACCACTTTTCCAACTGCTGGCCCACTATGTTTTACTTTTAAATCAAGCTATGTAAAGTGGGATCTTTTACATTTATGCAGATAGGTAGTAGACAATACACAGGAAAGCCTCCAACTATTACATTACATTGGGAGTCAGGGTGAAAACAGGTATATCATCATCGGGGCTAGCTCAGTCACTCCTAGGGAAGCTAATAAGTAAATAGGACAGGACATACTCCTGACTCAAATTATGAGAGCAAGTGAAAACCCAAGGTAGGTCATTTAAAAATACATTTTGGTCTTTAATACCTTTTCAACATCTAAGTTCAAAGTCACAAAAAAATTTCCCATGAAAAATTATTATGATTAGGGAACCAGCAGTTAGCGTAATGGCTATGTCGCTGGATTCCCACGTAGTCGACCGCGGTTCGCGTCCCGGACCCGGTGGCTTAAAACTCACGCCGGGCACGTGTGCGTGCGTGCCCAAGATCCCGAGAGGAGAATGGAGGAGAAGGGATTGTGGCGTGACCATCCCCCCTGGGGGGTGATTTCTCGCTTTCTATCTCTATGTCTCTCTCTGTCTGTCTGGCGAGCGCACGCGCCCTATAGCGAAAAAAAAAAAAAAACTCTCAAAAAAAAAATTATTATGATTACAAATAACACTTTAAATATGCAAAACCATTTTGTCAAAGATATAAACCATATGTTTACTGTAAAATAAAAAGCAGTAAAAGAGAAAAAGAGGCAAGGTATTTATGGGGAAAAGCAATGGGTTATTATCTGTTGAGGGATAACCTTATAGTATTGTCAACTGGACCAGTGTGAAATGTACACATTTTGGAATTTTTACTTTGCAAGCTAAGTAATGTGATTGAATGTATAAAATAAATTGAAATAACAATAAAATAATAATTTAAAAAAGCAAAGGATGATGAAAAGTAGCTCCCCAAAAGAGAGAAAAGAACTACATGGGAGCTGATTCCATAGCCCAATGGTTAAGACAACCAGATTGTACATGGCCATCTGCATGGTTTGAACTTCAGTGCTGGTGGAAAACACACCAGACATGTGTGTGTGCAGACATGCTACAAATCCGGACAGGAAGGGGAAGTGGAGAAAGGACTTCGGTGTGTTATGCCCCACTGAGGGGTGCATTCTCCCTCTCTGTTCAGCATTTGCACCCTATGGCAATTAAAAAAAATAAAAGATATCTACAATTGCTGAAGACATTTAGAAGAGTGTATTCTAAAAAAAAACTGTGCCAATCAACTTGAAAATGTAGACAAAATGGACAAATTCCTACAAAAATGTAACTTCTTATAAGTTACTCAAGTTAAACTAGGTAAGACCCAGCTGTGGTGGCATAGCAGTAACACAACACCCTGCAATGCTGGGAGCCATATGGAAACCAGGGGTTTAGTTCTTGGACTAATTTGGACATGATGGGCACACAGCCCATGACCCTAGCTAGCTGAGAAGGCAAGGGAGAAGGAGCATGGTGTGAGATCCTATTGAGAGTACTTCTCTCTCTCTCTCTCTCTCTCTCTCTCTCTCTCTCTCTCTCTTTTTAAGAGAGATGCTTTTGCTATAGGATGTGTATGCTTGCCAGAGAGACAAAAAGTTAGAAATCACTCCTCAGCAGGGATGGCCATGCCACAATTCCTTCTCTTCTTGGGATTTTTGGGCACACATGCACATTCACCCAGCATGAGTTTCAAGCCACTGGGTCCGGGCCTCAAACTGCAGTTGGCCACACGGGAGTCCAGCACCTTAATCACTACACCACCTGCTGGCCCCAAAAGAAAAAGAAATAGAAATAGGGAACACATCTGTAGCCATTAAACTTTTCAATGTAATAATTTAAGAAATCTTCATCCAAATTCCACTGCAGGTCACATTTTAACTACAATTCTACCATACATTCAAGAAAGAAATAGTTACAATTCTATTTTATTTATTTAGTTAGTTTGCTATAGGGTGCATGTGTTCACTAGAGACAGAATAAGACAGAGGGGGAAAGTGAGAAATCACCACCCTAGGGACTGACAGGTAGTATGGTGGCTGGAGGCGCTGGACTCCCACATGGCCAACTGCGGTTTGAGTCCTAGACCTGGTAACTCTGACTCTCTCCATCCCCGCTCTCCGGTCAAATTTAAATACATACATACATACATACATAAAGTTAAATAGAATAATTCTTAAAGAAAAGAAAGAAAGAAAGACAAAGAAAGGAAAGAAGGAAGAAAAGAAAAGAAATCACCACCCCAGAAAGAATGGGCACACTGCAATCCCGTCTTCTCTACTTTCCTCTCAGGATTTTGGGAACCCAGGCTTATGTGTCTGGTGTCTTTGTCAAGCTGGCCAGTCTGGACTCAAACCAAGTCAGCCATTTGGGATCCAGCTGCCTCAAACTCCATGCCAACTGCTGGCCTAATTCTAATCTTACAGTAAAGTATATCACTATATGTAAAAATTGGAGGAAACACAAATTTACAGCTAATACCAAATATCATATTTTGATACCAAAATATGACAGACATGGAGCCAGCAGATGGCATATTCTTTAAGGTGCTGGACTCCCACATGGCCAACTACAGTTCAAGTTCCAGACCTGGTGGCTCACTTTCTCACCTACGCCCCTGGCCACCCGGTGAGTGCAAGTGCCCCATAGTAAATTTAAAAACAATAATAATAATTGGGCCAGCAAGTGGCATGGTGGCTGAGGTGCTAGGCTCCTGCATAGCTGATCATGGTTCAAATCCCAGACCCAAAAGCTTGCTTTCTCACTTTCTCTTTTTCTCTCTCTCTGATAAACACATGTGCCTTGTATCAAATTAAAATAGTAATAATAATAAATAAATAAGTGAAATTTAAAAAGTAATAATTAAAAGAACTTAAAATAAATGAAATTAAATAATTGCTTAAAAAAATACGACAGACACAATGTAAAAAAAAGAAAATGACTCAAAATGTAGATGCAAATGTTCTAACCAATGTTAGCAAACCAAACAGCAACTTATTCAAAAGGTGATACATCGTAACTATAAACTGAACTAATCTCAGGAATAAAAAAGTGGCTTAACATGAGAAAATCAATGTCATTTTCCATGATAGCAAAATGAGAAAAGTAAATCAGGTCTTGAAAAATACGGAAGTATTGGGAACCAGCAGTTAGCGTAATGGCTATGTCGCTGGACTCCCACGTAGTCAACCGTGGTTCGCGTCCCAGACCTGGTGGCTTAAAACTCATGCCGGGCGCGTGTGCATGCGTGTGTGCCCAAGATCCCGAGAGGAGAATGGAGGAGAAGGGATTGTGGCGTGACCATCCCCCCTGGGGGGTGATTTCTCACTTTCTGTCTCTCTGTCTCTGTCTGTCTGGCGAGCGCACGCGCCCTATAGCGAAAACCTCTCCAAAAAAACAAAAGAAAAGAAAAAAAGGGACCAGCAGTTAGCGTAATCGCTATGTCGCTGAACTCCCACGTAGTCAACCGCGGTTCGAGTCCTGGACCTGGTGGCTTAAACTCACGCTGGGTGAGTGTGCATGTGTGCCCAAGATCCCGAGAGGAGAATGGAGGAGAAGGGATTGTGGCGTGGCCATCCCCCCTGAGGGGTGATTTCCTGCTTTCTATCTCTCTGTCTCTCTCTGCCTGTCTGGAGAGCGCACGTGCCCTATAGCAAAAATCTCTCCAAAAAAAAAATAAAAAAAGGAAAAAGAAAAAAAAAAAAGAAAAATAATACGGAAGTATTTGATAAGTCAATATCCATTTCAGAAGAAATTTCCTTAATGGTGAAGGGCTATTTAAGATTTCATGAAATAACAAATTTAGAGATTTTAAAAAAATAATAATTATTTTATTCAATTGTTTTCATTGTCATTATTTTATTTTTTAAAGTTGACCAGAGAGAGACAGAGAAAGAGTGAGAAAGCAAGCTGCCAGGTCCGGGACTCAAACCATGGTCAGTCACACAGAGTCCTGCTGCCTTAACCACCACGCCATCTGTCGGCCCCAAACTTAAGAGATTTTTGAAAAGCACCTTTAAAAACTGGAAATGAGGGACCAGCAGTTAGCATAATGGCTATGTCACTGGATTCCCATGGAGTTGACCGCGGTTGGAGTCCCAGATCCAGCAGCTTAAATTCACACTGGGCGCGTGTGCGTGCGTACCCAAGATCCCCAGAGGAGAAGGGAGGCGTGGCCATCCCCCCTGGGGGTTGATTTCTTGCTTTCTGTCTCTCTCTGTCTTTCTGGCAAGCACACGCACCCTATAACAAAAAAACTCTGTGGGGGGGAGGACTGGAAATGAGGTAAGTGATGCCTCCGCCACCATTTCCATTCAACTGCTGTGGGTTTTTTGTTTTTTTGTGTTTTTTTTTTTTAAAGACTGGAAAGGGAGAAACAAAACTACTACTATTAGCAAGAAATATATTTGTTTTATGTAGAAAGTCCCAAAGAATCTATAGATTAATGTTGAAATGACTAGGGGAATTTAGCTATAGTACTATATATAAAATCATTACACACCAAAAATACATTAGAAATTATAAAATTTTGGGACCAGCAGTTAGCATAATGGCTATGTCACTGGACTCCCATGTAGTCAACTGTGGTTCGCGTCCCGGACCCAGTGGCTTAAAACTCACGCTGGGCGCGTGTGTGTGCGTGCCCAAGATCCTGAGAGAATGGAGGAAGAGGGATTGCGGCATGGCCATCCCCCTTGGGGGGGGTGATTTCTCGCTTTCTGTCTCTCTGTCTTTCTGTCTGTCTGGCAAGCCCACACACACTGACACCAAAAACTCTCCCCCCCCCAAAAAAAAGAAAAGAAATTATAAAATTTTTAGAAGAAACTAACAGTAAAAAAAAGAAAAGAAATTATAAAATTTTAAGATGAAACTAACAAAATTAAAAAGCTTAAGAAATAGTAGAATAACTCTAAAAAGATATGTACTATCTCTGTGGATAAATCTGTAAGCTGTATTAATTAGATGTAATCCCAATCAAAACACATTGTTTCATTTTTCTCTTTCTCAGAAGTTAAACTGATTTTGGGCCTGGCAGGTGATGTGGTGGTTAAAGATGCTGGACTCCCACATGGCTGACTGCTGTTCAAGTCTTGGACTTGGCAGCTTGCTTTCTGACTTTCTCTCTCACTCTGTCTCCTTCTGGTCAAACTGAAACAACAGCAATAAATAAAGTTAAATAAAATAATTCTTCAAAAAAATTCTTAAAAGAAGTTAAACTGATTTTACGACTTTTATGTAACAGCTAAGGATTTATGAACAGCTAAGATCTATCTGAATAAAACAGGTGAGAGACTTTTCTTGCTCAAGTAATTAAGACTAAATGTTACTAGTGCAGAAAAAACCCCAACAGAATACAATAGAGGCCTAGAATCAGTCCCAAACAAAATCATTTGGTATCAGAAGGAGTGTTTCCACTTAACTCCCCAGTGTCTCATCACATTGCAGTCCCCTTCCCCCAGCCCTGCAGCTAATCAGGATCAGGTCTACTCAGATGGTTGGCCATGTGGTCTCCAGTGTTGCTTATCACCTGTGCCACCACTGTGGCTAGTCATGATCTTAATGACTTCTGAAGATTAATCTTAATAAAAGAACTGCAGTGTGGCCATCCCCCCAGGTGGGTGATTTCTCGCTTTCTGTCTCTGTCTCTATGGTGAACACACATGACCTTTAACAAAAATCTCTCTAACAAAGTACTTATCACATGCTCCACAACGTAAGATATCACTTGTCAACTTTTAAATAATATATTTGCTTAGTGTAATAACACTGCTGCAGTTGTGGGATTTCTCTCAAACTGTTTTTAGCAGCTTAAATCCTGGAAACTCTTCTGTTCCAACTGTCTCACCCAGGAGACAGAGGTGGAAAACGGCAGCCTTCTTCATAATTCTACCTTTCAGATCATCTTAGTCTATTGCTGACAAATCACTAAGCTCATTTAGAAGAGAAGAAATAAGGGTTTCTCCTATTTTAGTATAAATCTTATGTGTGGAAGAAAGACACATCCTCTTCTAGAATGTACTTATAAACGAAAAGCAAAATTATTAGAAAATTCTTACCGGAAAGATCCACCACAGCCTCATGACTGGACACAGCTCCTTTCTCAATAAAAAGATCTCGAAAATATTCACTATTAGCTGACAAAACAGATTTATGAGCTTTGTACTCTTCTCCTTCAATTAACAACGTAACATCGCAGAACTGGTTAGAAAGTCTCTGTTCATTCAGCTGTTTTAAGACAGCCTGACAATGTTTTGGAGAAGAACGTTTTACCACTCCTTTGGTGTCAACCTATCAAAATAAGTTTGAGAACAAGAGTTGTAGTACATAATCATCTGTATTTTTTTTTTTACCCATAACAGACTTTAAAAAAAGACACTACTCCATTTTAACAGATACGAAAACATAGCCTGATGTTGTTACCTATGTATCTAAAGAAAAAGTTACACTGTCTTCACTATTTCTTCTATGTTTATTCTATGTGACCTAGTGAAAATCTGTATCTCACTTTTGGTTGCCTTTTATTGGTTAGAAATTTGATAATGTAGGAAACTAATGCAGGCAAAGAAATGAAAAGACCTCGCAGATTAATTTTGTCTTGTTGAAGATCCAGAGACTGCTTCCAGAAATGTATTCTTTCTACCTGTACCAATGTATCATTACAAAAGAAAGGGCAAATATCGAAAAACCAACGAATCACTAAGCTCATTCTGAAAAGAAATAAGATGAATATTTATGAGCAATAAAGAGGCAGTATAGCATACTCGTAGCCATATGACAACATATTAGGTCATTGGAAAAGTCATGACATATTTTTCTCTTTCATTTTTTTTAAAGAGATTTTTGCCTTAGGATGTGTGGGCTCCCCGGAGAGGAAGAGACAGGGAAAATGAGAAATCAACCCCCAGAGGGAATAGCCAAGCTCCAATCCCATTTCCTCCCAGGAACTTGGGCACCTATGCACATGGGCCCAGTGTGAGTTTCAAGCCACTTGGTCTGAAACTCAAACCGCAGTCAGCCTATGGGAGTCCAGCAATGTAACCACTACACTATCTGCTGGCCCCTGTTTTTCTATGCAAAAATGCATCAGGACTTTTCCAACAACCTAATAGTATATATGCATTTTATTATATTCGATAACTGCTACTTGAGACATATAGACTTGTTTAAATCTTCCATTTCTGAGTCAATAATGACGCAGCCTTAGTACATAGTTACAAATATTAAAGCTGAATGGAAAGTGCCACTTACAAATACAAGTTCATGTTTAGATACTGGCTTCTTTTTTGCAGGCTTGGAGGCTGTAGTTGGAGGTGAAGTAAAATTGCTCAGGTCATCCTCTGATTCATTACTTTCTTCTCCAGATTCAAGATCTAGTCCTAATTCTTCCAACATTTCTGAAGCATCTGATATTGGACGGGAGCGATCTAGTTTTTCCTGGCATTTGCTACACTGTTTAATGTAATCTTTGACTTGCTTTAGTATACCTACAATAAAAATCAAGACAAAATACTGTTCTTATTTGAAATGTAAGAAAGTTTTTTTTTTTTCATTTATTATTATTATTTATTTATTTTTGAGATAGGCTTTTCCTATAGGGCATGTGTGCTAGCCAGAGAGACAGAGACAGAAGAAAGAAAGAAATCACCCTCTGGGGTGATGGCCACACAGCAATCCCTTCTCCTCCATTCTCCTCCTGGGATCTTGGACATACATACACATGCACCTGGTGTGAGTTTGAAGCCACTGGGTCCAGGACTTAACCGCGGTTGGCCATGTAGAAGTCCAGTGACGTAAATGCTATGCCATCTGCTGGTCCCTCACTCATTATCATTATTTAGTTTTGCTATAGGGTATATACATTTACCAGAGAGAGACAGAAAGAGAGAGGGAATATGTTAACAAATCACTCCCTCAGGGAGATGGCCACACAACAATTCCCCCTCTTCCTTTCTCCTTTTGGGATTTTCAGGAACATGTGCATATGTACCCAGTATATTTTCCAAGTCACCAGGTCTGGACTCGAACTACACAGTTGGCCACGTGGGATTCAGCTGACTTAACCACACATCACTTGGCTGGCCCCTAAGATACATTTTTCAAAGATATGGGGTTATAAATGATGGCTTATTTCCATGCTGAGAAAGGCTATTTTTTTTTATTCCCAGTTATTCCCTTTCCCCACACAAAATGATTAGATAGCCCTACCGATTTTTATGGGAGTTGTTAACATATTCATGCAACAAAAACTACATGAGCCATCAATTTTCAGCTGTTTTTTTTTTTTTTTTTAACCTACATAATATAATTAAACATGGCTCAAGGTAATGCTTCTCTTCCTCTGGTATCAGGCTGGACCACACTAGCTAATAAAATATGGATAAGATGTGCCGTATCTAAACACAAGCTTCGTTTAAGAGGCACTGAGTACTTCACACCTATTCTCTGATATTGTTCCCTCTCCCAGTGGACATGTTCTAGGTGGGAGCTGCCCTTTAACCACAACTACAGATGGAAACAGACAAGGGAACCCAATCTCTAGCCTGGAATAGGACTTCAACCAAAATGTGTAATAAGAATGTAAAATAAGAGTTTTGATTTTGAAAGTTATGAGATTTGAGGGCTGGCAGGTGGCGTGGTGGTTAAGGCACTGGACTCCCACATAGCTGACTGTAGTTCAAACCCCAGACTTGGAGGCCTGATTTTCTACTTGCTTTTTCTCTTTCTGGTCAAATTAAACAAATAATAAATTATGGTAATAAAATAAACTAATTCTTTTTTTTTTTAAAAAAAGAAAGTTATGAGATTTTAGGGTTGTGTGAAATAACAGTATACACTATCAACACTAGTTGACTGTACACAAGCTAATCCCAAAAGCCTAGTTTGAATTTCAACTTCCAGCTCAGTATGCTGGGGAAGAGGTGAAGACTTTATACATACACACACAGACACACAAACACACAGACACACACACATGCCATCAAACTTGTAAGGCAGAGGCAATCAATTGTCATTTTACAGAAAAGAAAAATGAAGCCCTAAGAAGTCCAGAGTCACATTTGGTAAATGGCATAGCTGGGCCTCCAGAGACGCGTGACTTTCAGAACACTGTGCCATCTACACAGGAACATCCCTGCGGCAGAAACTTTCCCTCCCTTGCAAGCCCCAAATAGATGCAAAAGAAAAGGCTATTAGCTAAAATAACATAGAGGTACATATTATATCCACGAAAAGTGTCAAATTATATCAGGTTCCTCATACTTTCAACCTTCAGGTAGTATTCAAGCCACATTTCCCAAAGTCTATTATGTTTCGCTTAGAAGACTACTTACTGAACTAATAAATTCAAACGATTACATTCTCATTTTATAGATACACAATAAATATTATCAGAAACTGATTTCTACAGTAAAGAAAGCTCATGTAGGAATTTGTCAAATTTAAGACTTCTTTGTAGAACATAAAGAAATACTGGGGAGCCGGCAGGTGGCATGTTGGTTAAGGCACTGGACTCCTACATGGCTGACCATGGTTTGAGTACCAGACCTGGTGGCTTGCTTTCTCACTTTCCCTCTCTCTGTCTTTCTCTGGGCAAACTAAAAACAAGAACAATAATAATAAATAAAATTAAATAATTAAGAAAAATAAAACTGGGGGGTCCCAGCAGGTGGTACAGTGTGCTGGATTCCCACATGGTCAATTGCAATTCAAGTCTTAGACCTGGTGGTTTGGAAATAATGCCGGGTGCATGTGCATGTGTGCCCAAAATCCTGAGAGGAGATTGGAGAATGGACTGCAGTGTGGCCATCCCCCTTGCAAGGTGTGATTTCTCACTTTTCCCCTCACTATTTCTTTCTGTTTTTCTGGTGAGCACATGCACCCCATGGCAAAAACTTTGAGAGGAAAAAAAAAAGAAAAGAACGAACGAATGGGTTAGAGTTAAATACAACTTTTATCCAAAAAAAGTATGTGTGTAGATTTAGAGATCAACAGAGATTGTAGTCTAGCAGCTGAAAATATTAAAGTCAGTAACAAATAATGTCTCACAAGTTTAAAAAAAAAAAAGTAAAAAGGCCAGAAGAAACAAGAGTGTGGTGTGAGCATGGGGAAACAAAAGAAAACAAGAGAATATGCCACCGTGAAGCGAATGCTTAGTCTCAGAGATCAGAGGCTTAAAGAAAAGGATAGATTAAAACCTGAAAAGAAAGACCCTAGCACGCTGAAGAAAGAGTCATCCCCCAACACCTTTCCTGCTTATCCTGTCAATATAATACACAGCTGGGTCCACCTTACCACATCCTGGTTGATACCAACTTTTCCATTAAAGCCAGACTGGACCAAATGCGGTCAATGATGGACTGTTCGTATGCCAAGTGTATCCCTTGTGTAACTGACTGTGTAATGGCTGAAACTGAGAAACTGGGGCAAAAGTATCCAGTGGCTCTAAGGATCACCAAGGATCCAAGATTTGAGATTTGAACGATTACCATGCATACATAAAGGAACCTATGTGGATGACTGTTTAGTACCGAGAGTAACTCAGCACAAGTGTTACATTGTGGCCAGTTGATGGAGACCTTAAACAAATGTGGAAGATCCCAGGAGTTCCTACCCTGTACATTTCTAACCATAGATACAACATAGAGTGGATGCCAGATGTTTTTGCTATGCCAGTGCTATATGCCAGAAAGACAGAGACAGAGAGGCAGAAAGTGAGAAAGCATACCTCGGGGGGATGGATGCGCCGCAATCCCTTCTCCTCCATTTTGTTCTCAGTATCCTGGGTACGCGCGCGCGCGCACACACACAAACACACACAACTAGCGTGAATCTAAGCCACTGGGTCCGGGACTCAAACCGTGGTAGACTACATGGGAGTCCAGCGACATAGCCATTACGCCAACTGCTGGTCCCCGTTCTAATTCTTAAAGGACAAAGTTCCTCTGCCTTTCTTTGACCAAATATCTCTGTTGCCAGTTCACTAAACATGCTGTATGTCATGAATTATTATTCTGTTCACCTATTTACTGTATAATGAGCTTAGTACAGTCAGGTATATTTACTATTCAATAAAAAAAGTAAAAATGTATGGCCCAGCTGTGGTGGTGTAGGTGACAGGGCAGTGCTGCAGGGGGTTGGACCTACCCAGGGGGCCTAGGTTCCACTCCTGGACCAAGTAAAGTAGGCCAGGTATTATGATGGTGCATGACTGCAATCCCAGCCTACTGGGAGGTTCAGGCAGGTGAATCATAGCATGGTGAAATCCTGCCAAACCTCTTTCTCATTAAAACAAAACTAAAAAGACAGGGAAAAACAAACAAACAAACAAAAAACCCACTAATATAAGGCTGGATGAGTATTTATTTTAAATATAGTTAACAGGGTAAATAAATTGTGCCAGCCAGTGGCATGGTAGTTAAGACAGCTGGACTCCACACAGGCAACCATGCAGTTTGAATCCCAAACCCAGTGGCTTGAGAAACATGCCAGGTGTGCGTGTGTGTGTGTGCGTGTGTGTGTGTGCGTATGAGCCAAAAATCCTGAAAGGAGAAATGGAGAAGGAATTGTGGTGTGGCCATCTCCCATGTGGGGGAAGTTCCTTACTTTCTCTCCCATGAGCACATGCCCTCTAGCAAATCCAAAATAAGTGTATTTATTAAGTAAAAAAAAAAAAAAAAAAGGAAAAAAAGAACAAGTTAATGACAAATTTCTGGAGACAAACAGTGGTGACAGTTGTACAAAATGTGAATGTACTTAGTGCCACTGAATTGTGTGCTTAAAATGGATGAAGTGGTAAACTTTACAGTATGTATATTTTATTACAATAAAAAGGGATGTGAATAGATACGTAAAAGAGAAAACAAATATGTAAGCAAATATAAATATATTGGGCCACTGGAAAAGTCATGATGTGTTTTTCTCTGCAAAACCGTGTTATGACTTTTTTGACAACCCAGTATGTTTATCCCTAAGAAAGAAAGATACAGAACAAGGAGTCCTGCTATGGAAATTCCTATGTTCAAAACAAAGACAAAAAGCTGTTATTCTAGTTAATCTTGGATATATTTCTAAACATTTTATGATTCTACACACATTTAAGTATACCCTGCAGACAGCAAAGGTTTGATTAAAGTATTAACTAGGTAAGTTCAAGTGATATTGGAAAAACTACACAGAAAACATTTGAACAAGGATGAAAATAAGGACAACTACACAAAAACATGATACTAGTGTATGATAACTGATTGTCTCAAAAATTACCCTAGCGAGGCCAACAGGCGGTACAGTGGTTAACAGTGAACTCCCACATGGCTGACTGCAGTGTGAGTCCCAGACACGCAGCTTGAAAATCACTCCTGGTGCATGTGTGTGCATGCCTAAAATACCAAGAGAAGGGAGAAGGAACTGTGGCGTGGCCATCCCCTCCGGGGGTGATTTCTCACTTTCTCTCTGTCTCTCCAGCTAGAGTACGTGCCCTGTTGCAAAA